ATATATATATATATATATATATATATATATATATATCAATCTCATCGAAGTATATTGTCTGTTCTTGATCATTGTTCAGAGGACTTCATCAAAGTATATTGTCCATTCTTGATCATTTTTCAGAGGCCTTCATCATTCTTGATCATTGTTCAGAGGCCTTCATCATTCTTGATCAATATTCAGAGGCCTTCATCAAAGTATATCGTTCATTCTTGAGGAAATGGTCAACAACAGCCACAGTTCTCTTCAACCGCTGTGAACAATAATTACTTTCTTTAATTGTAGAGTCCACCATCATGGTCAATACACCAACACTTGTCTGTTGCTTCTAAAATCTCAATTGATGACCATCTGTTGTTCAACAGATGAATGTTAATGTCTAAAATCAAGCACAGAAGCAACAAAAATTACAAAGACGAAAACTTTATGGAAAGGCCATACCGCACTTTGCATAAACGAACATCACATGTGTGTCTTAATTCAATTCATACTCAGCGCCAAAAAACATGAAACAACACATTTACCTTGACATGGTCTCAAAGCACTCCAAGAGATATTTCATCGACGAATAATTTTGACTTCGGCTTACTATTCTTCGTGCGTCTATCGACTTTCACGTTCACGTTCACGTTCAAATGGAATGTTCGTAAACTATGGCCAAAGTTTTACAAACGTGTTGTGTTCTAGTTTTCAGTGACAAGGTGAGTCGTAAATGTGTTGTGTTCTGATTGGTCAGTGACTAAGTGAGTCGTAAACGTGTTGTATTCTCATTCGTCAGTTACTAGGTTTGTCGTCTTTTATAAATTGTGACTATACAGAGTGTCTTCAAAAACTGCTCATCACAATTTGCATTATTCATCACCTAGTTTCTTTAACGACATAAGCACAAACAAGATAATAAAGCACAGCATATTCTCCAGAGATTGGAGGAAATAAAAGAAAAGGGATTTTCTTTTCATTTTATTCTTGTTCTACCTTATGCTTATGTCAATTTGCTGTGCTTATGCTTATGCTTATGTTTGTGTCAGTCACTTCATTGTCTTCTTTTGTATTTTCTTTTGTCTTTGTTTGTGTTTATGCTTATGTCGCTAGTGAAAACTAAGCTTTAGAAGTAATTAATCCTCATGGAGCGGTACATACAATTGAATACAATATAAATAAATACCTATATTTCAGCTATTGCAAATAGCAAATCTCAAAATTTTTAAGCCTCCTTGGAAAGCAATTATTACATTCTAAATGTTGACCAATACCAAAAATGCTTTGAAAAAACCCTCTTCGTTGTTCATTACGTCTTATTTTCTTATTATATTTATTAGCCAACGTTAACACTTTCATTTCTTTTAATTAGCATTCCACAAGATGTATATAAAAAATTGACTTTTGGCAATTAAACTATCGTAAAATTTCAACGCCCGATCATAGTACTAATCTCACAGGTGCATGACATTTCCATTTCCAATGGAAATAGGTCACACGTAAAAACCGTCAAAAACGCAACAACAACAATGGTTGTTTCGACTATAAACTTGTGATAGTCTTGAATAATTTTTTGTCATGAAGTAAAGAGATGTTCATCTCATGATATTGAACTAAAACTAAGTTGTATTTAATGTAGAACTGAAATAAATGTATTAAACATTCTATGGTTGATTCAAATAACGAGTAAAAATGAAGTCTGTTTTTTTTAAATTTTGCACTATCCTTGAATCCTTAGTCGTTACAAACGCTATCTTGCTAATATACTAGTCAGTCAAAGAGATCTTTTCCGAAAATATGCATGAGAAAAAACTTTTAATTATTACGAATATTTTTTGCATATAAAATTCATCTTTTCTACAAAGTTTATTATTTAAAATCGTCGTTCACACAAAATTAACCATACTCATTTCATTGATTTCAAATAGACATAAGTTGACTTGATGGATCTATGCCATGGATGGATTTACTGGGGGAGGGGGGAGAGGGGCTGGGTGTAGGGGGCTGCCAATCCCCAAACGTCAGATTTCACCCACCTAAATTAATTGTTGACCCACCAAAGAAACATTATGAACCCGTATACTAGATGACCTGGCTCGTCATTTTACCCTCACTCTTGACTAGTTATCCTCCACCCTTGTCATGTGCTTTTATGTAAGATCCCAGTTTTCTTTATAATCTCATAACGTTTCGTTTGTTTCACTTTGAGTAGTTTTCAATAAAAAAAAAACAATGATTTCGCATATGTTTTATGTATCTTTTAATTTACCTTAAAGTTCAGTCATACAGAGCTAGAGTCTCCAAAATATATTAGAGCAGTATAGAATTCTATATAAATATGAGATATCTCTTTAAAAAGAATTGCCTACGAAGCTTTGTATTGTTACTGTATGATTATATTAAATGAAGTCAGTCTGACACAACTGAATATATGAATATCCCCACCAATCACCGTTTTACTAACAGCCTGCTAGTCGTGCATGCAATCCAGGGATTCACATATATGATTGGCTATAACAAAGCTATACAGTAAGTAAAAAAAATGCCTTGGGTTTTCTAGTAATGTTGGATAGTAATAATCAAATAATAATTATCTCCGTCAAAGAATTATAAACATATTGAACATCTTCTTTATTAACCTATACAAAGCTGTAATCAAAGTAAGACGAGGATACATTAGTTATTAGATACAACTATTTTTTTTTTCTTGTTTAACTTAAATCTTATGTTTTGGCACTTTATGTCAATGTTACCCTGTTAAACGTTTTTGCTGGTGAGCATTTCTTTTTGACTGCATGTATATATTATGAATCAGTAGTGTACTAGGAAATAGTTTATAAATATGTGAGGCAATATTAATAATGCACGAGTATGATATAACTTCGGTGAATCATTCGATTTGATTTTTTGATGGTCAGAGAACAATTCTACACTTGGGAAACTTATCGTTGAACTTGTTCACTACTGTAACCAAATCCAGTTTGCTCTCTCGACCACAATGAATTCCTAACATCATAAGCTGTCCAGACGCTTCATGGTGATTTATCAAAAGCAATAGCCGCAATACATGTAAAACTGTCAGAATCTGATGCTCATTGCTTATTTGAAACTCAAACAGCAAAGTTTTATAGTTTTTTACAAAAAATTTCCTTTCAAATTTAGAAACAGAAAACTAATAGCGGGAAAGCGTCGTGGCGATTGCATATGCCAACATATCTCATGTTGCATTTGGATATCTGTTCTCTAATGAATATTCAAGCGCACGCATGGCAGGTTAACAATGTGTCATCCATTCAACTGAACACTGTTTGTCTCATTGATGTAAATCACTTCCTTTTTACTTCCTTTTTTAGCAACGACTTACCACCTGTGCAAGACTGAATTTAAAGCCAACTATGCATAATATTAATCCATAATATAAAGCCGACTATTATTTATTCATTATCAATTCTTACTTTTGGCTACAGTGCAGTTTTATTTTAGTCATTAAAGAGGACGTAAAGCGCACAAAGTCAAGTTCGTAAGTGGAAAGTGTTTTATGTAAAAGCCATTTTGTTTATATGGCCAATGCTAATCTTAAGCCCGGCGCACACGAGAGCTACTTGCTTAGTAAAATGTTAGTCGTGCCAAGTGGCGCGTTAGTCCTTTTTCGGACGACTTTTGCCATTCCAGGCAGGACTGGCAAATATCTAACATGTTTGATAATTTTTTGCCACGCGACGCGTAATGCTTTGTCGAATTGTCCGTGTGCGGCGTCTTGAAGCAAATTTCTTTCTGATAAGGCCTTAAATTGATGTTGGAGATAAAACACGATAGTTATAATTTAAATGAGAGAATAATGACCAACGTCACTCGAAATTCATAAAGAAATTTTTATTACCTTAAAGCAATGTATGGTCTCACAAAAAGTTCAGTAAATCATTGATGAATAAAAGTTGCTGTTGTAAAAAGTTAATGACATGAACCCAGTCAATAGATTAGTAGGATTTAAACATTATATAAGTTTGTTATTTTCATTTTCACAATTACATATTTCTATATAATGAGAAAATACGGAAAAATATCAAGCAAATTCATTATCATAAGCATTTGGTCGTTTTCAACTTGCCCAAATCGTCTAACGCCTCAAAAAATCAAGTTTAGCTCGTGTTTAAAATCATGAACTTAACTATGAAAATTTTTTAGTCAATAACCTGAATAAATGGGACTCCGTTGTCTTACCATTATCATAGTTATGAATAAAAACTATATTATGAGTAGTGATTTTATAAAAGAGGTCTTAATAACGGTGAGACCTTCGCAAATATTTACAATGATCAAAAAAGAACTGTCTTCCTTAATGGTCAGCTAACAACATGCATATTAAATCGAACGCTGACACGCATGGCAGGTTAACAATGTGTCATCCATTCAACTGAACATTGTTTGTCTCATTGATGTAAATCACTTCCTTTTTACTTCCTTTTTTAGCAAAGACTTACCACCTGTGCAAGACTGAATTTAAAGCCGACATACATAATATTAATCCATAATATAAAGCCGACGATACATAATATTAATTAAGGATTATTATTCAGTTTATTCTCTGATGATGGCTTTGGAATGAAGCCGACTATGATTTATCCCCATTGTAAATTCTTACTTTTGGCTAGAGTATAGTTTTATTTTAGTCATTAGAGAGGACGTAGGGCGTTACAAGTTAATCTTTATAATGGTAAAGTGTTTTGTGTAAATGCAATTTTCTTTATATCACCAAAGATAAACTTGAGATCTTCTGATTATTCTCATCTTACCTGGTGATAGAGTGGTTTAGTTTTCTGTTCTGTCATGGTGTAAGTAATTTGACACCTCAAACAGCATTAGTTTTATCATGAAGAACATGCTAATTTATGCAAACAGGAATGTCATTACCATCATTACCAGTGAATGTAAAAAGCGCTTACGCCTACACGTCATCTTACTTACGCTAATTAGCATATAACATATAAGTTTTGATTTGTTCGTTTGAGGTCATTTTTCATCGTGAGTCGTGACGCGCTAGGAGCTTGTCAAGGTTTTATCACAAAAAATGCCAAAGAGTCAGAAGTCCGTACATACGGAACACTACAAAATTAGGAGAAAGAGTCCTCTCAGTTGTAGGAGCTGCCGAAATCACGGAATAATCGTTCATATTAAAGGTCATAAACATGACTGTGTTCATAAAGACTGCACGTGTAATTTATGTATGGTGCCTGCTGAAGAAAGACGTCACACGGCTGCAAGAATAGCATTATATAGAGAAAATCAACGTTTATTAGAATCATAAGGTATGTTGTATAACAATCTACGCTTTCTTGTTCAATGTTAATTTAATACAATATTTGATTTTCCCAACAATTCCTACACTATATGCGATGTTCGTTTGGTGAAAGGATAAAAATCACACTTTGTCCAACTAGACAAGTTTCATTTTCTTATGCTCAATTTCTCTAAAGCGATCTTAGCTAGCAAACTGTTTTTTCACACATCATTACGATAGACAATATCTTTCAAGAAATATTTGTGTGAAAAATGAGCTGACTCACTTGAATGGCATTATTGTCGAGAAAAATCAAACATGAGTTAGAAGCATAGTAACGACATAGTCTTGGGTCGAGAGAAAAAATTTTATTCCAGAATGAGAAATATTTCATTTAAAAATCATACGAAAGTTATTTACGTTCTTCTTTCTATAGAACTTTTATTATTTTGAAATGAGTAAAACCAAAAATATTTTCAATGTGGCAACAACCGCCACTTTGCCAATAAGAAGCATTTTTAGTATTTTTGCATACCACGTGGTAGAAACTTAGCTCTCTTCAGTAAAATGTTTGCGCTGAATGATATTGTGTGCGTGTCATCGGAGGAAAAATCATTTGCTGAAAAGACAGCTACATTTACCGTTTGCATTGAGTTAATACATTACAAATTTTTGTTCGGCCATGGCGAGCTCTTTGGCATTGTGAACTAATACAAATGAACTGAATCACTATTTTCACATTATTTCTTCAAGTATTGGATAGCAAGAATCGTTTCTACAAGGCCACCGTTTTGGTCTACACAATTCAGACACGTTTATACTTTACCTGAATGCTTTTGAATGGGAGTGTTATTCTAACCGATTTAAAATTATGTTATTATTCGTTCACATTATATGGTCACTTATGATTTTGCGCAACGTATAGTTTGGGTTCTAATCTTGCGCCAAATATGTATAACATTTTGCAATTGTATAAACCTAGATTGTACAGGTTTAACACCAAAAAGTGCATAGAGCGTAAGTTAATGAAATTATTTACTGAACGAAGATAGGTTTACATTTATATGTTTCTACGAGACCACGCTTTCAAACAAAGAACTGAATCAATTTAAAGTTGAGAAAAATTTTTTTGTTTCACCCTTATAATGTTGGCAAAAAAATATCATAATTATTTTCAACTTTACACCATGCATTGCAAACACTGTGTAGTATGTCGGTTTTAAAATGGAGTCAGAATATCACCAATTGAAGAACTACGTTTTGATGTATGTTCTACAAATACTTATAACCATGACAAGCAGACAATTTTAATACGACAGATTCCGAATATAAACATCTCGTTTTCTTGATATTGAAGATGATACATGAGCTTATACAACAGATTGTGTAATATTTGTCTTTATTCCAAAGATATCGTCAGACTAAGAGATTACAAAGCAGGCTGTGAATCATAATTATTTACACACAGAATTGACAGTTTCGTAATTGAGAGAGTTACAAGACTAAAAAATACGCTTGTAAGATCAGGGTCAGAGTCAACGTCAGGAAGTGAGAAAAGGTGTGAGATGTAGTTTGATGTCTGGACAACTGAGTAAATGTTGCAAGATAACACTAGAACTGTTGTAATTTGTAGCATGTTGGGTTAGTCTTGTGTGTAGGTTTCGTTCTGTTTTACCTATGTATGCATGACCACAACCAGGACATTTAAATTTATATACAACATTGTCTTTAACGTGTTCCGGAATTTTGTCCTTTTTTGGACAGAAAATTGATGTCTTTTTTGTTTGATATATAACTATACGTTTGATGGGGATTTTTTAAGCTACGGCTAGTCTTACGAAGAAGATTGAAAACCAAACGTTCACCCTGTTAGCCTATATATGGTATTCTAAAGAAGATTTTACGTAGTCATTGTCGGTCTTTTGTTTGGGAGGGGGGTTATTTTTGGCTGTGATTTTGGTTTTGAGTTTATGGTTTGAGTTTTGCATTTATAAGATGCCATCTCACACCTTTTCTCACTTCCTGACGTTGACTCCGACCTTGACACCCGTACCGTTTAATCATTATAATCTGATTCCAATTAACACCAAATTCTTATATCGCTGTAATAATAATAATCTTAAACTACATATCTCTATTTCAAATTATCTCTAAGAAATTATCTCTATTTCAAATGTAAATCTTGTAGCTCTCTCAATTACGTAACTGTCACTTCCGCGTGTAAATATGAAATAAAAGTTTCACAGCCTACCTTGTAAACTATTAGTCTGACGATGTCCTTGGAATAGAGACGAAATAATACACAATTTGCTGTCTAAACTCTTGTATCATATTCAATATCAAGAAAACGAGATGTCTATATTCGGAATCTGTTTTATTTTCTTCTATAAATACTAAGAGCCCTAATTTTGAGTTTTCTAAATGACTTTTTATGTTGGAATGTGTTTTCATCATACAACCAAACTGGCTTCAGGATTGAGCAAAATATTATAACCACCAATTTGAAAATTAAAATACGTTTATAACAAAGTTATTGATTATGAATTTCTTAAGATAAAAATCAGCAAATGATGTAATGCATGAAGACATTTAATGAAACATTGTCCCAGCAAACGTATAAAGCGCTATTGTTCATAAACTGCTGTTCACAGGCAAAATTACTTGACCAGAAAATCTTCTTTGTTATGAGCCGTTTATAAACAACAGGTTAATTTCTATAGCATAAACTTTTTGGGTAAGGTATATCTTAAACAGGATTTGGACATTGAAGAAAAGAATCTAAAACCCAATCTACTACATATCTTACTCTGCAAAATTCTATAGTTAGTGTGAGGCAAACCGCAATCTTAAAAAAAAGCAAAGCCATTGAACTAAAATACATGGAACGCTACCTGTAATACAAAAGTCAAATAACTTTTTCAAGCGAGATTACTTACACCAAGACAAGCGTGTGTAGTCGATCAATTTTCGAGAGAATCTAGAAAAACTACACACGCGTGTCTAGGTGTAAGTTTTGGCTTCAGTTATTTGCTTCAGATAGCGTTGTATGTATTTTAGTTCAAGGGTCAAAGCTGTCTACATTTATGAATAACATCTGCTTCCTGAGTTCATATAAAGTTTCAAAGATGATTTCTCGATTTGATTCTTTAAAATAATTGATAAGATTGGTTTTGTAAACTTTCTTTAACTAATTTTCCATTTTGAGTTTTTTTTGTTTTTGTCATTTTTAAAGTGCTCGGCTACAAAAGTGCTTGAGTGAAGAAAATGTTTGGCTTGTATTTTATGATTACCGATAATATCAGTGCGGATTTAACACAATTTCAAAAATAACAAAGACTTATGTACATGGTGCGAGTCTGGCCTGGCTAATGAATACAATGAAATATTCGCTAGTTGCAATGACTCAGCGTTCAAAGATTAAAAATCATATAATCTTAATTGGCAAAAAATCAATGGCAATATGTTGATTAAGGTCCTATCAAAAGATTATTGAAAAGATAGTGAGATAATGTTCAACTATAGCAAAACTATATTTGAACATTATTGTCTTCTCAATATTGTCTTTATCAATGTATGAAACTGAAGGTGTTAATTTTGGGAAATTCTATCACTAGGTGTAAGTTTGTTAGCATATGCCTGCGTAAAACAAACAATCACATGACACAAAAACTTAATTTGCAATTTGTGATTTTATCTTTTATAGATGAATTGCAAAACCACATGCACATGGAAAAAAAAGCCAAGTAACAAAGATATTCTTTTAACATTTCTTCCAATCCACCCCACAAAGTTGTAGCTGATTTACCACGAACGTATGTTAAAAATCCAACATCAATTCCGCCGAATATCCAGCTGCTCGTAAAAATATTTCCAAACCAACGTCCTGATTTGCTCGAAATGATCTTTGGACGTAACAGTGATGACTTCATGTACACCATCAAGTACATTGATGGTCTAATAAAAGATGCTGAATTACTTCCACGACCATCAAGAAGCTTTCCACTCACCAATACCGGTCAATGTTCATACGGCTTTATACCAACCAGTTCTTTCAACAACCCTCACCACTATCAAAGGCATGAACACACCCAATTTTAACATTTAAGGATTGAAAATCATTTTGTACGAGATATTTTATTTTATTTATTTACGGGAATTATACTTTAGTTATTTGTGCATGCAAAACAAAGTTTGTTTTTTTCCATTCATTTTGGGTTCACTAAGGCCTGTTTCAAACCTCGCATTTTATAAGAGCCGAATGCATTTAAAACAAAAGTAATGAGGAACTTTATCTCATTTTCTATGTAGCTACATTGAAAACATTTTCAATGTTTTTATTTAGCACATATTTATTTCTTATGGTAAAATTTATTGCATTGTGTTATCAAACTATTTCAGCGCATTTTTGTATTTGTTCATGTCATTTGTAAAAAGTGAGCAATAATATTTTCCACCAAATATAAGCATTCCTTCAGCACTGCTTTTAGTCTACTTTTCAATTCCACTCGTCCATATGAATACAGAGAAAAACACAAAATTCGAAATATCTTTCCCCCAATTGATTTAACTAACTGGTTTGTCAAAAAATTTCAATGCTAAAGAGTTAACCAAGTGTGTCCTTTGAAGACATCACCGTAGTTTATCAAATACGCACCATAAGAAAACACTTACCCGCTTGTCAATATCCTTTATGTAAAGTTTTCGACAAAAATTATAACATCCAAATTCCAAACCGTTTTCCTGTTGAATGAAACTCACATCGACATAACAAAAAAATTCAATAAAGAATCTTATTTTGTGCTAACTGAATCAAGTCGTACAAATCACCAATCATGTATAAATCGTGTCTAACTACGAGTTTGAATATTATTATATTCAAGAAGGTGGAAAGACTTTGAAACAAAATAATAAACATCGCTTATGCATTTCAGTCACGGTAAGTATATAAAGCAAAGTTACAATTCGACAAGGTTTTCCAAAAGTGACATTATAACGTGTGAAGTGTCACCAGTACCTAAGTTAACACATACATATCAATAAGCATCACTGTAATACGAAGGCTTTCGGACTTTTACAAATTTTTACAAAATAAAGATCGAAATTTTGACAACAGAGTGATCAAAGAATTCTTATATATCGAGGATCATGTCCAATGCATAAACTTAATGTATGATCTACACAGATCATGTATGCATCACACACACTATGCATGATCCACAAACACTATGTATGATCCACACATACCATGTATGATCCACATACACAATGTGCAAGAATGACCCCATCTATAATTTTTAAATAACCAAAATGACACCAACTTGCAGATGGATCAGTATGAACAACAAATTTTTGCGATTTTTTTGCAAGCATCCTTTTAGTTCGCTTCTGGTGCAAAAGTCCTTTAAAAGTTACTCGACATGTAACATTTTAAAAGTATAAAAAAATTGATACATCGACTCAATAATGTGAGCTCACCTTAATCTTTATAACGTTCCATTTATTCCACTGTTTTACCCATTATCATAGTTATGAGGAAAAATTATATTAGGAATAGAGATTTTATATAAGAGGTCTTAATAACGGTGAGACCTTTGCAAATATTTGCACTGATTAGAAAAGAACTGTATTCCTTAATGGTCAGCTAACAACATGCATTTCAAAAGCCAAGTGAAAGAATTTGTTTTTGTTGAAGTAAATAGTATCACGAATATGTGTTTCTACCGTCAAATTTGAGTATTGTTAGTCGCTAAATGTCATAATACTAATCGTGCATGTCGTAATAACATGATAAAATGGTGGAACTAATATTAATAGATTCACAACATTGATCAAAATGTTTCCATTGTGACGATCTTTTATTTCAAGAACAAAGCTCACTATGGAATAAGCAGCGATACTTTAACCTAAACGCAACAACTCATCAAGATATAATGCCATAAAGTTAAAAATCTCTGTACAATGTAAGCTTAAAGTACACCATGTTAGCTTTGTTAAGTTAAGTATTAAAATTTAAATAGAAAATACAAAGAACTAAATATACAATAATGAACTAAAATATGAGTACATACCATAAAATATCATCATTCCACGCTGGATAACTATGAAATATCATCATCTACGTTGGTAATTATGAAATATCATCATCTACGTTGGTAACTATGAAATATCATCATTTACGTTGGTAACTATGGAATATCATCATCTACATTTATAACTATGACATATCATCATCTACGTTGGTAACTATGAAATATCATCATTTACGTTGGTAACTATGGAATATGATCATCTACATTTATAACTATGACATATCATCATCTACGTTGGTAACTATGAAATATCCTCATCTACATTTGTAACTATGACATATCATCTACGTTGGTAGCTATGAAATATCATCATCTACGTTGGTAACTATGAAATATCATCATCTACGTTTGTAACGTTGACACATGGCCAAACTACCACTGTGTTATAGCGGCAACACTGCTATAGGTTACCGTTACAAACGAATTGATGAGCGAGTATATATTAGACAAATTTAAGTCATTGGCAAATTCGTTGACACGTGAACAAACAACCACTGTGTGTTTAATGTGTAAGTTCGCCAGACTTTAAAATAAAAAGGGCTAAATTGCATATAAATTAAGAATCGCAGAGGAATTAAAGAGATGGACATCACGAGATGGAAGAACGTATCACTATTGGTTCTTTTATTGTTTATATGTGAGCATCTAGCTCACATTCTGCACAAACGGTGAATTTTTAGCCTCGCGTGGCCAAAAATATCAAACATGTTTGGTATGCGAGAAAAGGTTGCATGAGTCGTAAAACTCAGTAAAAGTCCTCCGCACACAGCGAGTTATCGACTGAGCTAACCGACACAAGTAACTTTTAGCTCAGTAATAGCTCTCGTGTGCTGCAGGCATTACTTGCACAAAATGTGCACATGGTTATAACAATCTTTGAGGTATTTTTCAATGTTTTTTTTATAATTTTTTTGCATTGCAAAGATAGCACTTGTATTGTTGTCATTAGGTTAGTATTTTTACGAATGATATAACTATTAGAGGTAGTGAAAACTGCTCTCCGGTTGTTTCAGAGCTCCCTTTGACAATTTTTGTTAATACAAACCATCTCAGGATGTGTCATCCATTCAACTGAACACTGTTTGTCTCATTGATGTAAATCACTTCCTTTTTACTTCCTTTTTTAGCAACGACTTACCACCTGTGCAAGACTGAATTTAAAGCCAACTATGCATAATATTAATCCATAATATAAAGCCGACTATTATTTATTCATTATCAATTCTTACTTTTGGCTACAGTGCAGTTTTATTTTAGTCATTAAAGAGGATGTAAAGCGCACAAAGTCATGTTCGTAAGTGGAAAGTGTTTTATGTAAAAGCCATTTTGTTTATGTGGCCAATGTTTATATGGCCCGGCGCACACGAGAGCTACTTGCTTAGTAAAATGTTAGTCGTGCCAAGTGGCGCGTTAGTCCTTTTTTGGACGACTTTTGCCATTCAAGGCAGGACTGGCAAATATCTAACATGTTTGATAATTTTTTGCCACGCGACGCGTAATGCTTTGTCGAATTGTCCGTGTGCGGCGTCTTGAAGCAAATTTCTTTCTGATAAGGCCTTAAATTGTCTGAAGATGTCTTGAGTAAAGACGAAACGTCACAATAAATTTAACTTTACAATTCGTTTTTTTTTTGTCTATTTCTATGGCTATAATCAGAACTTTATGTTGGGCATTAATTTTTATCAAATGAACTGAATCACTATTTTTATATTATTTTTTTAAGTTTGGATAGCAAAAATCATTTTTACAAGGCCACCGTTTCGGTCTACACAATTCAGACACGTTTATACTTAACCTGAATGCTTTTGCATGGGAGTGTTATTCTAACCGATTAAAAATTATATAATTATGTGTTCACATTATGTATTTCGCCTCCGTACCCTCAATGGCGGCGATCATGCAGGCTTCAAATATGGCGGCCAAGTTAGCCTTCCAGTTGTATTAGAGTTCATTTTATAAAACATTGTCTTTAAAGAGTTCCGGAATTTTGTCCTTTTTAGGACAGAAAATTGATGTCTTTTTTGTTTGATATATAACTATAAGTTTGATGGGGATTTTTAAGCTACGGCGGAATTTTACGAAGAAGATTGAAAACCTAACGTTCACCCTGTTTCTCTAAATATGGCATTCTAAAGAAGACTTTACGGAGGTCATTGTCAGTCTTTTGTTTGGGATTGGGGTTATTTTTGGCTGTGATTTTGGTTTTGAGTTTATGGTTTGAGTTTTGCATTTATAAGATGCCATCTCACACCATTTCTCACTTCCTGACGTTAACTCCGACCTTGACACCCGTACCGTTTAATTATTATAATCTGATTCCAATTAACACCAAATTCTTAATTCTTAATTCCTAATTATCGCTGTAATAATAATAATCTTAAACTACATATCTCTATTTCAAATTATCTCTAAGAAATTATCTCTATTTCAAATGTAATTCTTGTTGCTCTCTCAATTACGTAACTGTCACTTCCGCGTGTAAATATGAAATAAAAGTTTCACAGCCTGCCTTGTAAACTATTAGTCTGACGATGTCCTTGGATTAGAGACGAAATAATACACAATCTGTTGTCTAAACTCTTGTATCATCTTCAATATCAAGAAAACGATATGTCTATATTCGGAATCTGTTTTATTTTCTTCTATAAATACTAAGAGCCCTAATTTTGAGTTTTCTAGATGACTTTTTATGTTGCAATATGTTTCATCATACAACCAAACTGGCTTCAGGATTGAGAAAAATATTATAACCACCAATATGAAAATTAAAATACGTTTATAACAAAGTTATTGATTATGAATATCTCAAGATAAGAATCAGCAAATGGTGTAATGCATGAAGACAGTTAATGAAATATTGTCCCAGCAAACGTATAAAGCGCTATTGTAATAATAATAATCTTAAACTACATATCTCTATTTCAAATTATCTCTAAGAAATTATCTCTATTTCAAATGTAAATCTTGTTGTTCATAAACTGTTATTCACAGGCATAATTACTTGACCAGCAAATCTTCTTTGTTATGAGCCGTTTATAAACAATAGGTTGATTTGAATAGCGTAAACGTTTTGGGTAAGGTATATCTTAAACAGGATTAG